GTTTCTGATCCTTACCTTCCACCTGCTGTCTCTGGGAGAAGCGGCGCTGCTCGGGGAGAGCGGCCTCATCCATTTGTGCTCGCTCGTGCGTTGGGTCTCGCTACGAGGAACTCGATCCATACAGACAGCAACAGAAACAAAGCACCTTCAGGCGTCTCATAAACAGACTTCAGGTAGTACCCCACCCCACTGGTCACGTCGTCACGTCACGATTTGCGCCAGCGCCGTCTGGGAATGAGCCTTTCCTCAACATTCCCAAGCGACACCGGCGCGAATCGCGACGTGACCAGCCAGTCCCCCATGGTCGCGCCCGCTACAGTCGGCCTCGATTGGACTGGACACGCGAGAAGACACAAGACCCTTCCGAGGGCCACATTGCCGCAGGAATGTAGGAAGCATGGGTTGTGAGACACAGGACACAGGGATACCCTTGACTTGGCAGGGTCGACCTACCAATCTGGGCCGACTGCACCGCCAAGCGTGACCAGCCATTCCCCCACGGTCCCACCAGCTGGTCCCCCACCCCCGCTGGCGGACTTGGTCACAGTTTCGGGTGATCGCGAGGCGGGGCAGGTCCAGGCGGGCGGGATCTAGCCCAAAAACTCCAGGCTCTCGAGGAGGCGTGCTGCGGACGCTGCAGGCAAAGCGTGCAGCAAGGACGCGTGGTGAGGGCGTAAGGGCCTCGGATACCGAAGCTGGATTTTTGGGGGCGGCGGGCGACCAGTGACAACGGCAAACGACGGGCCGCAGAGGCAAGGACACAAGGGTACCCTAGATGAAGGCGCGCGTCCGTACCAGGTGCGTTGACTGCACTGCTGATGCTATTTGGATGCCTCTGCCAGGACACGTGCCAGCCATGACACATTTCCCACCCATGCCTACGTAGCCCAGTGGCTCTGATTCAGGCCTTGCATGGCTCGAGCTCTTCTGGTCTCAGACTGGCCAGGGGCCTCGTGAGGGCGCCTGCGGGTCCTGAGAGTCCACCACAGGACTTCAAATTGGAAGCTGACAAGAGCTCTGATACAGCTGTCGGAGGGGCTCCAGGCAGCAGATCTAGAGCGAAGGATGGCGCAGGCTGCAGGGTCGAATCTGAAACGACGAGCGCATAGGAAAACGAGAAAGAGGGGACTACATACGAAATCTAGACATGGGCCAGAGCCCACAGGATGACCACGCATGCTTTCCCGACATCCGCGTTGGCCGCACCTGTCGCCTCCAAGATGGGACCGAGAACGCGAAACTCTGGATTTTTTTCCAGCAACAAATGTTCGGTCTGTGCAACTCTGGATTGATGGGTAATTACGTCAGGACCGATTTGAGGAATCACACACTTTGAGCTCGGCTTCAAGTCCAGAGAGTGGGCCTTCATCAGGGCGGCCTCGAGTTCTGGCACGTGGTCGGTGGCGTCTCGACGGGGGGGAAAAAAAGGAGGTGGAGCTTCGAAGTCTAGTTCAAAAAGATAAAGAAGAAAGAGGAACAACTTACCGTCCCTGCCTACCCACCCTTTTTTCTCCAAACCGCACAAGCGCAGCGGAAGTCTCCAGAAAAACTGCAGCCTGTGCCAAAAATGCTGAGCTGACTGGCAGGGCGTGCTGCCCGACGCAGGCTCGTGACGCCCCGCGCCCACCGCGGCCTCACTTGGGCGTGTAGTAGTCGCCCTTCTTCGCCTTCCAGTACGGGCCGACGACGTTGAAGACGGTGAACAGGAAGGTCAGCGCGGTGAGGCCGAGCCCGAGGAAGAGGCCGCCGGCCTGGAAGCCGTCACTGTCGGTGGTGATGGTAGGGGGCCGCCTGCGAGCCCTGCCCCTACCCCCCACGATTTCTGAGGGGGAGGGGGTGGGGTTCACCTCGTTCGGAGGAGCTCCTCCGAGCGAAGTGAACCCCACCCTCCCCCTCAGAAATCATGGGGGGTAGGGGCAGGGCTCGCACGGGGCCCCCTAGATGGAACCCTCGTAGGCCAGCGCGGGCTGCGCCGCGGCCAGCCCCGCGAGCGCGGCGGCCACCGCCGGCGCCTCGGAAGCCGCGCGCGGGGGCGCCACGAAGGACTGGCCGGCGGCGCTCAGGCACGCCGCCGCGCCCAAGGCCAGGACGCAGGCCCTCAGAAGACGAAGCCAGGACGAGGAGCACATCGGACAAGGATACGAGTCGAGAATCTCTCAGACTTGGTGGCTCTGGAGGATGTCTCGGGTGCCGCGGCCGTCTTAGAGCGTGCCGGAAAGCTCTGAGAGCGTTCGGGAACGCTCTGGAAAGAACTTCTCCTCGTCCTGGCCCCGCCCGGCCTCAGGACGGCGCTGCCGGAGCGGGCCATCTCGGCCGGAGGGCTGCGGTCTGCGGCTCGGGCGCCGGGGCACGGCCTCAGGGGGTGGGCGCGCGGGGCAGAGGCGGGAACCAGAACGGCTGCGGACCTCTGCGCGGAAGCTCTGGGCGGCAGCGCGCGCTACCCGACGCGGGCTCGTGGGGCACGCGCTCCCTGCGCTTCACTTAGGCGTCGTGCACTCACCCCTTTTGGCCTTCCACTGCTTGTCGATTACACTGAGGATGGGGGGCAGGGGTGTCGAAGTGACGTTGCCGAGCCCAAGGCGTACACGAGGGGTTGGGGCGAAGGGGTGGTTTTCTGAGTGAAGGTATGGAAGGGGGGGAAGAGGAAGAGGAGGAGGAGGAAGAGGAGGAGGACGACAAGGAGGAGGAGGAGGAGGAGGAGGACCAGAGTAAACCCAAGACTCATCAACGATGTTGAAACAAACCCTCCAAGCCTTCCCTCAGAACTCCTTTTCAACGGGTGCGCGGCGCTAAAGCGAGAGCCACGTTTTGAAAACGAACCACCCTCAATCCGTGAGGTTCTTACACATTTTGCACGCAACACAAAAACGAGAACTACATGTTGACAACCATCCGTCCTGAATCCGCGAAGCTCTTTCAAATTTGTAAAACAAATGCGCGCGGCACTACGGCGAGGGTCACATTTTGAAAACGGCCCGCCTTCAATCTGCGAAACTCCTGCAATTTCTCAAATCGAATGTGCGCGGCGCTAAAACGAGAGCCGCAATTTGAAAACCAACCGCCCTCAATCCGTGAAATTATTGCATCTTATTGAAGACGAATGCACGCGGCGCTAACGCGAAAAACACATGTTGGAAGCGGCCCGCCTTCCATATGTGAGAATGTGGTAACTTTGAAACTTCACAATCATACGTGGTGCGGAAGTCTCAGGCGAAACGCCCAGCTCGCCCTTTCGACCGGCCCCAGGGTGCGACAAAGAAGAATTATTCACAAGGAGCAGGAATGGAGGAGGAGGAGAGGAGGAAGAGGAGACGGAGGAGGACGAGGAGGACCAGTGTAAACCCAAGAGTCATCAACGATGTTGAAATAACCCACGCTCCCAAGCTCCCTCTTTAAAGGCCCCGTACACCGGTTCATTTCCGCTGAGGGAACTGCCTCGTCGGAAAACGACCGTTTGAAGAGACCGAATCGTGCCAAAACACCATCATCGGGTTTCCAACGCCACGGATCAGCCTGACTGTTGCATATTGACGATCCTGAATCGCGCGAGAACGCCATTCCTGGGATTTCAACACCGCGAACCAACGTAACAGTTGCACCCTCTTAACCCTGAACCTTTCCAACACACAATTTCTGGTGCGTTGACCATGGGGATCTGTGAAACTCTTGCAATTTGTTCAAATGAATGCGCACGGCACGAAAGCGAAAACCACACTTTGAAAAGGGACCGCCCCCAATCCGAGAAACTCTCGCAAACTGCTGAAAAGAATGCGCGCGGCTCTAAAGCGAGGGTCACATTTTGAAAACCGCCCGCCTTCACTCCGCGAAGCGCTTGCACACGTTTAAAACGAGCGCGCACGGCGTCAAGGCGAAATCCACACTTTGGAAGCGACACGCCCTCAATCCGGGAAGCTCTTGCATTGGCTTCACGGCTTCAAGACGAATGGGCGCTGCGCTAAAGCGAATGCCACATTTTGAGAACGACCCGCCCTCAATCCGCGAAGCTCTCGTTTATGTATGTCTACAAGCTCATATAGCATCGAACGCGCGCGGCGCTAAGGCGAAATCAACGTTTTGCAAACGGCACGCCCTCCATATGTGGAAATGATGCCAATGTTTAGGCTTCAGGGTAATACATGGCAAAGAAATCTCGGGCGAAACGCCCGGCCCGACCTTTCGACAAGAGGAGGAGGAGGAGGAGGAGGAGGACGACGAGGAGGAGGAGGGGATGGAAAATGGGATTGGGAGGGGGAGGGGGAGGAGGAGGAGAAGGAGGAGGAGAAGGAGGAGGAGGAGGAGGAGGAGGAGGAGGAGGAGGAGGAGGAGGAGGAGGAGGAGGAGGACGAGGAGGAGGAGGAGGACGAGGAGGACGAGGAGGACGAGGAGGACGAGGAGGAGGAGGAAGGGGGGGAGGAGGAGGGGAGGGAGGAGGAGGAGGAGGAGGAAGAGGAGGAGGAGGAGGAGGAGAGGAGGAGGAGAGGAGGAGGAGAGGAGGAGGAGGAGGAGGAGGAGGAGGAGAAAGAGGAGGAGGAGAGGAGGAGGAGGAGAGGAGGAGGAGGAGGAGGAGGAGGAGGAGGAGGAGGAGGAGGAGGAGGAGGAGGAGGAGGCGGAGAGGAGGAGGAGGAGGAGGGAGGAGGGAGGCGGGAGGAGGAGGAGGAGGAGGAGGAGAGGAGGAGGAGGAGGAGGAAGAGGAGGAGGAGGAGGAGGAGGAGGAGGAGGAGGAGGAGGATACGACGCTGCAGGAAGATGTCGCGAGACGCGCATGACATACACCCCAAAGCGGCGGAGATCAGTGGACCCCCGCCAGGGGACTCACAAGGATGCCTCACCTGCTCACCTTGAGGATGACGGTAAGCGAAGCGAGCCCAGGACAGCGGCGGCGGCGGCAAGGGCGGGAGCGGCGCGCCTGCTGTCGGCGCTGTCGGCGCGGCGGGGCGCGCGGCGCGCGCGCGCTTCTCTCGCCCCCGACGCTCGTCCGCCGCCGAAGCAAAACAACTAATTTAAAGTACGGCCGGGCACCAGGACCGAAAAGAGCTCGAAGCCAGGAGCCCGAAAGCGGCCACGAGGCCGCGGGAAGCTCACGCCCCAGGATGATGAGCCCCAGCATCCCCTTCACTGCACAGTCTGAGCCAGTCGACCTCGGGATCAACCGCCACGGGCGGCGGGCGGCCTAGGAATCGGAACGAGACGAGAGCCTGGCCTCCCATCGTCGTTTGGATGCCTGCCTTCCAAACAGAGGCGTCGGATCCGACGGCCATGCTCTCCGAGCCGGGGGGGGGAGAGCACACTCTTTTTGATCCGCGGGTCGAGAGCGCACCTCTTCCGGTCGAAGCTAAGCGGGCCGCGCACAGCTTTAATTAACAAGGGGGGCAGAAGGAGGGGCCTCACGTCAAGGCCAGGAGGGGGCAAAGCCCCGGAATCAGGCGGTGCCGAAGACGATGTGCTTGCAAAGGAACGCCTAGTACAGGAGGGGGGGAGGGCACACTCAACCAACAATTGGCCCACTGAGCCCGTGGTGTAGCAACCACATCACACACACACACAGAACCACGGGCCCTGGATATACCCAAGGAAAATGACCCCAAGCATGCCGAGAGTGAACCATGCCGAGCTCAGGGAGGGGCGCGGCTGAAACAGTGGCCTGAGAGAGAGAGAGAGAGAGTGAGATGCCCTCCCAGGCGTCACAGTGACGGATCCCGTGCGCTGCCGCACGCTGCGCGCAGAAGCAAGCACAAAGGCAGGTCCTTCACGAGGTCGGATGAAGGGGGGGTCCAACGTCAAGGGGGAGGGTCGATCAACATCCTGGACCGCCTGTGCCAAGTCAACTGCATCTCGGATACAACTGGACACGACTGGATCAAAGCTCCCCCGTGGCCGCACAATTCTGGCTGGTGGCGGCGGTGACCTTGCCTGAGCGAGGCAAGCGCTGTCAGGCGGCCTGGGCCTGACGACGCGGCCCCGAGAGGGGCTTCGGGACGAGGGTCGTTTCGGCCTCTCCACCCCCACCACGCTGGGCTCGACGTTCTGGGGCGCGCCCGGGCCCGAGGAGGAGAGCCCAGCAGAGACGTCGACCTCGGTGCCCAGCGAGGTCGGAGCTCCCGTCAGCTGCCCCTCACTGCCAGGGTCGCCCTGGGAGCTGGCACCACCAGCTGAGAACATTCTTAGGGTGGAGGGCTCAGGGTGAAATCCAGATGGGCTTTTGACCTTGAGAATCAATCCGTCTTGTGATTCACCTTTTGCAGATCCGAACCTCGAAAATCCATCGAAACTGCATTTCAAATTTCACCCTTTGCCCTCCACCCAAAGAAAATTCGGACCAGACACCCCAAGAGAGAGCCCAAACCACCGGGAGAGACCGAGCCTCCCCGAGAGCCACGCGGGGCCGCGCCACGGGCAGGGCGAGCCCCGCCGGCAAAAGCGGCGGAGCGCTCGCAGAGGCTCGGGCGCCTCTCCTGCAGAAATCACACCGCCAGAGGCGCCGGCGCGCCGAGGAAAAAAGCACGTCTCAAATGATTCGGGAAAACATGGGGCCGACAACTGGCAGGCTTCTTTGTCTTCAGTCTCCGTGGCCGTTTGGATGTTTCGACGCGGCCGTGGGGCATGTGAGACGAGTGAGCCTGCAACAACCACGTACGAGTGCCCCGAGCGGATTGCAAGGCAATCTTCATCGTTATGAAAGCTTCCTGATCAGCGCTGTGAAGGTCGCGCCCTTGTCGAGCGGTAAAGTCGGCCCACCTTTTAGAGCGGGCCTCCAGAGGGTCCCCGGACTGGTGGTGCCGAACGTGGGTGACCGCGATGGCCTCCCCAAGGCCTCCGAAGTCGTCGATATTCCTCCACGTCGCTTCCCAAAGATCGGTATTTGGACGCCTGGCGGCGTCGGCGGCGGCAGCGGCGGCGACGACGATGACGACGACGGTTGCGGCGGCGGCGGCGGCGCCGCACGGTCGCATGAGGATGATCTAATGGCAAAGCAAAACCTGGTACATAGTATGGGCAGAGGCCTTCACTATTTAGTCATGACCTGCATGCATCGAATTTGCGTGAACGCGTCATCCGAATTACTCTAACTATGAGGTCGTTCAACAGACCACTTGGGGATTGCAAGTAGCAATGCTTCCTCCATTTCGGACATTATCCTAGACGAGTGCAATTGGGCAGCACGTGTCGGTCGGAAACCTGAGGCCAAAGACAAAACGACTGCCTGATGTCATTCTCTCCTGTTACGGGTGCGAGGTTGCTTTGTCTCCTGAGCACACTGGGAGGATCAGTGAAGATAATGACATGCGAAGGCCACACTCACTTCCATCGCTTTGGAAGGCATTTGCACGTGAACGCGGAGTGCTCAGCAAGCCAAGCTCAAAAAGTTCGGCATGAACTCAGGGCTGAGGACCAAACATCTGGCACGGCGGTAGATGGAACTAATTAAGCAACTGTCTCCTTGCCCCCGAAAATTCAACACCGAAGAGTAAAACTCATGGAGCACAACGCCCATCATCTGTGAGACTTGCGAAAGCGGTAAGGGGGGCTGTCGAGGCGACCTTGCCCGGCACATCGACGTCAAGGATGGGAGCGCGCCTACTGCGCACTCGCCGGCGCCTGCAGAAGAACAGCAGCACACAGCATATTGAGGGTCGGGCATGTCCTCCTACAGGCGGACGTTGGGAGACAAATAAAAAGCTGTCAAAGAGTACCCAAAGACAGCGAAGCAATCATCGAAGCATCGTCCCCAGACTATGTTTGGACCACTTCTGGATACTCCTCCTGTAGTTGAGGGATGAAGAGTGGTCTGTAAACCTCCTGGGAACCCCCAAAGCCTAGAACCGCCAGGACGCGGTACATCACGCAGGGTTTACCCTGTCAGCCCCCAGGAGTTTCAGCGCACAGCGCCTCGTAAACCAGGGCAGGGGGCAATTCTTGTGCCCTTGATGTAGGAGGGACCTGCCCGACTCGGAAGCGCCTGCTCTCGGAGGTGCGCGCGGAGCCTCCCCGGGTCGGCGCTGGGCCCCCCCCTGTGGCGGCACCTGCCCCCGCAGGCCCCGGGCGCCCCTCCCCGCGCGCCACGACGAGGGGGCCCCCCCTCCCCTGGCGGGCGCTGCGCGGACCTCCGAACACGAGGGGCAACGAATACAGTCGAGGCGTTGACCCAAACGAGGCCCCTATTTTCCAAAAGTTAAACTTCGATTTCGTATCGAAAACCTAAGGGAAACCTAAGGCAAGCTGCAAACCAATTAAGGAACACGGAGCCCCTCCCCAACGAAAAGGGTTCCTTCTTCAAGGCCCCGACTGTAGGGGGGGGGGGGGCTGGCCCCGTGGGGGGGGCACGTCGACCTGGCATGGGAGACACAGTCGGGGTTGATCGGAGAGGGCGCGCGAGAGGGCACAAGGCCCCTCCGAGGGCCACGCTGCCACAGGGATGCAGAGGGCGTGGGTCGCGAGACACAGGACACAAGGGCAGTCTTGAGTTCGCAGCGTCGACCTACTAATCAGCCTCGACTGTACATCGCCGAAGCAGTCGGCCCGTATCATAAAGATGCGCGATAAGGATGCAAGGGCCTTGGACGCTCGTCTCGTCTCGAAGCTTATCGAGCGGGGCGCGGCCAACGAAAGCGGCGAGGGATGGAGCGAGGAGGCAAGGATGCAAGGGTACCATTGGGAAGGTTGCCCATCCTTACTATGCGGGTTGACTGTAGGGGGGGGAATTGGCATGGGGGGAATCGGCGATACATCGCCGACAGAGTGGCGATAGGCACCCGACATAGCAAATCCGCACCTTCTCGGGTGGGTGGGGCTATCAGACCCCTTACCGGCGATCCATGGGCTCTCGGGGGGTCGATGCATCCCCCCCCCATGCCCATCCCTCCCCCACCGTTGCCCCCGAGAACGGCTGTGCTCGCGTGTGCTCTGCGGTTCCTCTAGCCCGCGGCCTACTCCTCCGCGGGCGCGAGCGGCAGCACGGAGGACGCCTGCGAGGTCGCAACGGGGGCCCACTGCCACCAGCGCCGCCGCGCCACGACGGCCACGCCCGACACCACCAGCCCCAGCGCCAGGGCGAGCCACGCGTGCCCGGCGCCGGGGCGCACCCTTGCCTGCGGCGGCGGCCGAGGACAGAGCTGGAGCGTGTCGCGCGCGCGCGTTGGCCGGGGGGGGGGGGGAGGAAGGGAGGAGGGGAGGAGGAGGAGGAGGAGGAGGAGGAGGAGGAGGAGGAGGAGGAGGAGGAGGAGGAGGAGGAGGAGGAGGAGGAGGAGGAGGAGAACGAGGAGGAGGAGAACGAGGAGGAGGAGGAGGAGGAGGAGGAGGAGGAGGAGGAGGAGAAGGAGGTGGAGGAGAAGGAGGAGGTGGAGGAGGAGAGGGGCGGCAGGGAGAGGGGCGCGGGAATGTGGCGCCAACGGAGGGCCCTTGGCAGGCCCTGGACTGCCACCCTGGCTACACAAGGGGTGCTGCAGAGGGGCACCTACCGTTACCTTCGGGCCGAAGGCGATAGGGTCGCCCAACCTCGCGCCCAGGTGACACTCCCTGGAGAAACGCAGCTGTCCAGCTCAGACCGCGAAGCGCAATTCTCTCCATGCCCCTGCAGGTGCCCCAGAAAGAAAAAGGGGAGCGAGCGAGCGAGCGCGCTACGAACGAGTCCAGATACTCGGCACTGAACAAGGCGGCGAGGAACATCGATTGTAACATTGCCCCCACTCGGGAACTCCCGAACGAAGCGACCCCCCCCCAGAAATCGTGGGAGGAGGTAGGGTTCACCCCTGAAGTAGACGGAAGAGGAGGGGGGGAGGTTGGAAGACGGGAGGGAACGAGGGAGCAAGGGACACGAGAGGAAGGCGGGAGGGGTTCACGAATCAGATAAGGTAAGACAGCGCCTCGGAGGTCGGACGGTGAACGCACATCGCCTCTTTAGCCTTGATCCTGGCTGCCAAGGCTGCCATCCTCTGCTCATGCTGGGGGGCGTCTTGGTCACTGCTGAAACTTCGGGGGGCAGCGGTAACACTTGCATTCGAACGAACGCTGGCCATGGTCGCATCCAGCCGAGACATCGGGAGAGCTTCCAGCTCCCTCATCCTGGCTTCGGCCCTGAATCACGACGCAAATTGCTCGAAACTTCAGCCCCCTTTTTAGTAGGCTCCTGACATATCTGGCCAAGTTGAATTGTCCTCCCCTATGACCACCCCCGCAATTGAGACAGAGAACTGCTGCTCTTTTGCTTCAATCGCCCCTGAAGAATCGACAGGGCCATCAGGGGCCCCACTGGCCCGCTTAGGAGCCTGGCCTGACACAGCGACGAAGGCATGACCTTTCGGATCTTCAAGCAACTTCTCAACATTCGGGGATGCCGACAGACCCCCTTTAGCAAAACGTGGTTTAGTGAAAACGACCTGATGCCCAAACCTGGCGGGCGCAAGCCTGGAAAATAACGGCCACGGCGCCCTCTCGAAAACCGAAAATGCACAAATCACTAATCGACGTGTCACTATTTGGGGTTCTGTCCACCCCCGAAACATATGGCGGAGTCCCTCGGCACCCATCCTGTGGACGAGTCTCCGACTCACACACGATCAGGTGAATTGGCACACTGCATCCCGAACTCTGTGCGACTCCACCTGCTCCCGGCGGGGCTGACTTCGAGACGTGCTGTGAGCTCGCTGCCACCGCATCTCATTCTCGAAGAGCGGCAGCGGTTCACGAGCAACACTGGCAAACGCGGCTGCACGAGCCTGCGCAACCTCGACCGCCGACGGAAGCTCTGGATCCGCTGTGGGATGAAACGAGATAGCGAGCTTCGCATCATCGTCTACAGCTCTGCTGGCCTGCCCACAGCGATACTCATCGCCCTGCAGCTGGTCCAACTCTCTTCACCGGCACGGTGGAGAGAGGGAGGAGAAGAGAGGCCACAAAGGCCTCGGGCAGGGCCGCAAAGGGGCCGTCTGCCCCGACTCCGCCCCGCCAGACGAGGCGGGGCCAGCCTCTCCCTCCGTCTTTCCGACGCTTCTGATCCGAGCGAGCGATGAGCGCGGTGGCGATGGCGAAGGCGCGGGAGTGGGACCGTCGAGGAGGAGGGGGCAAAGGAGGAGGCGGAGGCGGAGGAGCGAGCGAGCGACCGAGGATCTTGACACCGATGGAGGAGGGAGGCGAGTGAGGAGGGAGGAGCAGCAGCAGCAGGAGAACGAGCGAGGGGGGACCGAGGAGGAGGAGGAGGAGGAGGAGGAGGAGGAGGAGGAGGAGGAGGAGGAGGAGGAGGAGGAGGTGGAGGAGGAGGAGGAGGAGGAGGAGGAGGAGGAGGAGGAGAACAGGGCAGAGGAGGAGGAGGATGAGGAGGAGGAGGAGCATGAGGAGGACGAGTAGGAGGAGGAGGAGGAGGAGAGGAGGAGGAGGAGGAGGAATAATGAGAAGAAGAAGACGAATAATAATAATTTAATAATAATAATAATAATAAATAATAATAATAATAATAATAATATAATAATAATAAAATAAAATAAGAAGAAGACGAAGAAGAAGAAGAAGAAGAGAGGGAGGAGGAGGAAGAGGAGGAGGAGGAGGAGGAGGGACGAGGAGGAGGGGGAGGAGGGGAGGAGGGACGAGGAGAAGGAGGAGGAGGAAGGAGAGAGGAGGAGGTTGAGGAGGAGGTGAAGGAAGAGGAGGAGGACGAGGAGGTCGAGGAGGAGGAGGAGGAGGAGGAGCGAGCGGATCGAGGAGCGAGCGAGCATCGAGGAAAGAACGATCGGACCGGCGCTCGACGAAGCCGCGCCCGGTCTGGCCGCCGGCGGGCGGCGAGGGCCCCGCCTCCGGCAGCAGGCCGGCGCCCCCGCGGGGCACCTGGGGATCCACGAGGGCGACGCCGACGCCGACGCCGACGCCGACGGCGAGGAGGACGACGACGAGAGGAGGAGGAGGAGGAGGAGGAGGAGGAGGAGGAGGAGGAGGAGGAGGAGGAGGAGGAGGAGGAGGAGGAGGAGGAGGAGGGGGAGGAGGAGGACGAGGAGGAGGAGGAGGAGGAGGAGGAGGAGGAGGAGGAGGAGGAGAGGAGGAGGAGGAGGACGACGAGAGGAGGAGGAGGAGGAGGAGGAGGAGGAGGAGGAGGAGGAGGAGGATGCGAGGCGGAGCTCCAACGAAACGGGCTCGCGAAGCGGATGCCTACGAGCACCATTATCCCGCTCCACAGCAACGCTCAGACCGTAAGACATGGAAGGCCAAGACGTGAGCAACCTACGCCAATCAACCCAAAGACAACTGATAAGGCAATCGCCGCTAAGCCGACGCAGTAGGCCCCCGACAAGGCCCAGCCTCCACCACCGACCAACCCGCCATCTCCATTCCTCCCGCCTGACTACCCGACTTGGAACCCGCATGCGCTCGACCAGGCAATCCGACGCACAGGAGTCCCCGAAGGGCTACTATTAGCACCCAACCATCGACTGCCACTACCCAAACCTTGGATCACCTACAAGTATGAGGGCAACGACTACGTCTGGAACCACCAAGTGTACTACTGCAACATGGACACCAGGGAAACGACGTGGACAGACCCAGGCAACGTACTCGACTGGCCAGACAAGGGCTCTATATCAGACAACGTGGAATGGTTTTTGGGATGGGAACTACAACATTATCCATTACCCGCCGATGGCCGTCCCAACCATGACACAGCCGCTGCCGCCACCGACACCTCCAACCCCTCCGAGGCAGCGGTCGCCATCACCTCCAGCTCGGTCCTTTACGGTCGACACCACTTCCCTTGACACCGTCGTCGCAAAGTACCGCGACGACGTCGACTTCAAGGACGGCGTGGACCGCTTAAGGCACGCACATGACTACATGACAAACATTGGCGTAACCGACACGAAGTGTTCCGACACTGATGCCGGCCGCCTCACGCGGCTACTACTCACCAATTACGTAATACGTCAACCTTGGCACCCAGAAAGGGATACTCATGATAATCGCAGAGATCTACGCAGCACGGCCGCGCACTGTCACGACGGACTCAAACATCAGACAAGAGAATACGGCTGTGACGACACTACTGCCTGACCTGCCCCCGCTTCCTCCAGCCACGAGGGGTCAGTCCCCAGCAGCAACTTACGAGCCCAGCCTAAACACTACGAGGCATCAAAAGAATCCTTCCCACTGACATCAGTGCCAACAAACAATGTATCGTACCTCCCGTTACGCTACAAAGCTCCACCGGCTATTCTGACGCCAACCCCGATCGTACAGCACACCATTGCAGAAACAGCATGCGGCAGCGAGGGCAAGCAACCAATCACACCACAGCCATGGTAGGACGTACCTACAAAAGCCACCGCCGACGACACCACGAAAGAACGAGATCAAGGGCCAGACGTGATCCAAACCACGACGAGTTGGGACACAGCATCCCCGATGGCTAACGACGAAGATATCAAGCGTATCCGAGACGCAGCCATTGAGCTCGCAAAGCGACCACCACCTTCACCACCGCGAGGCATGGCCACAAGGATGCGGATCAAAGACCGTATGCACGACATCATCGAGCGCCTGACAGTCATGATCAGCAACGAACCATACGAGCGCGAGCACGTGATGTCCGAGATACACACCCACGAGGCTATCCTCCACCACTCCGACGAGATGCTCGAACTGACCGACCTAGCAGAGACCAACAGAGACGCGAAAGTCGACGACTTCCTCATCGAATGGAATGCGACCAGGTCATGGCCTACGTGGAAGAGGCTCTCAACAGCTACTGCGGGTCCCACGAGCTGCGGGACGCGCACCCTTTCTACATGAACCAGCGACAAAGTGACTTGGCAAACTATGCAAACCACTGCTTGGCTAGCATGCTGACCTACCCCAAGAGCCACAGACACAACGACATGCATGACCAAACACTGGTGCTGCATCATATGAGAGAGAGATCCTTACGGGCATCAAGGTATCCGTACGACACAACCCCACGTGCACGCCGATACTATTCCTCGTCACCGACCTGCAGATGGGAATCACAATCGATCAAGGTGGCCGAGCCCATCGCCAACCGGACCCCCTTGCCAGAGAGCGAGGCACAGGACCTCCAGAACCGACAGCCGACACCAGACCCACCGACTGGATAGGACCTGCTCCCACCTATTGACCATCACATCGGGACCGTGCAGTCATCGACTTCAGGACTGGGTGCAGTGGAGCAGACCCACCAGGCCAGCTTGTTGCAGCCCAGATGGACCACGGCCCCGACCGGCAGAACGGCTGCCAGCAGCACCGCCGACCACCAAGCACCACACACCAGACGCAGCAGCACGCCACTGGCGATGCCAACATGTGTACAACGATCCGCAACATGATCACGGACCAGAACACCGAAAAGGACGTTCCCCACACTGGCGAAAGCAAGCCGGCAACGACACCGCCCTCAGACCGACATCGCAGCATCACCCACCAGGGCGACCAGGAGGAGACGGACAGGGAGGCTCTCCCACTCTGCGGGCCCGACCCGTGGAAACCATGGCCGACCTACGCAGACGCCGTCAAAGCTGACCAGCCTCACCAGCAGGACCCACCTACGGCGAGTCGGGAGACTCTCTCCTGATCGCCCGCAACACGAGGCAATCCTCGCGATCGGGCTGGCCTAACGGCGGCCGATCAGTGCGATTCTTCCGACATAGTACGTTTGCTTTATGCTGACAGGACCGCCAGCTGATACACACGCACTCCCAACCCTATACTCTCCTTTAACCGACACGCACGCACTCACCGTCAAGATGGAAGCAGCACTGCTGGTGGTCTGGGAGTCCACCTTCTCTTGGTATATCTACAGCGTGATACGGCAGTCCTTTACAGCGCGGACAGTAGTGGCACCAGCAGCGAATCGTGAACATCAGTGGCGATTTCGGACACTCTCAGGCGATTGCACGTGAGCCACAAGTCCACACCATTCTCCAACCTTACTCTCCTCCCGGCTTTTCTGCTCGCAGCCCCACCTGCCCCCACCGCACCCTGCTAACGTCGTCTTCAAGCCTCCTCTTGCGGTGGGGTATGGGTCGAGCTCTATATGGGGGCGGGAGGGGCTCGGACTCACCGCTGGCCGTCCTGGCAAGGGCAAGGGCGGCCGCGACTAGAGAAGACGCTACTAAGGCACCCACTCAACCTCACCCTTCACCTTCAGCCGCCAGGGCTGCCCAGCCAGGGCACTCCCCCACCCTACCGCCACCAGGGCACCTCCTTCTCCACACCGAGCCACCGCCACTGATAGCAAACACCACCCCCACGCACGGTGGACCCCACCCAAGCAGAAACCACTCCCGTGATCTGGGTACCCTGCACCTGCCTCGGCGGGGGAGGGTACCAGTCGTGGGAATGGTGGCTGCTTAGAGGGGCCTCCTATGTGCAGGAGGTGAAGCCTTCCTGCCCTCTGCTTTGGCGAGTGTGGCCGGTGCTGTCTCGCACCACCGCTGGGGGAGCTCCTCCTCTCCCTCCTCCTCCTCCTCCTCCTCCTCCTCCTCCTCCTCGTCCTCCTCGTCCTCCTCGTCCTCCTCCTCCTCCTCCTCCTCCTCCT